TAACTATAGTTACTTATTTTATTTTTTAAAATCTTCACATTAAAAAATATTTTTTATATAATCCAATAAAATAACACTCTGTGTCTCATCTGTTACGCCCCAAACGGGGGAGGGGGGCAATAACTTTAGGTGTTCTTTTTTTAAAATTTAAGATTAGTTTTAAGAATAATTTTACCAAATTTAATTTGTTTTTTCGTTATGCCTAACACTTAAAGTTTTTTAAATGAGACCCTTATGACATGTTTTAGATGAGACCCTTATGACATTTTTATAGGGAGGGGATCTTCTACCCTCTTTCCATTGCACTGGTAGCTATAATTTAGATTTTATCAATGCCTAATGTTTTTATATGATATATAAAAACATTAAGCATTATATATATGATATATAATACTTATAAAGATACTGATAAAAAGTTGTTTTGTATTGTTTTGTAAATTTTTATTAGAAACTTTTATTTCTAAACTTTTCTTATGGTATTATCTATGGCCGTCACCACCGGTGTTGACGGCCCCCCAACTTTTTTTTAGGATAACTATATTTTTCTTTACAAAATAATAAACAAAATTTTCTTTACAAAATAATAAACAAAATAATAAGTATTTATTATTTTGTTTTTTAGCATTATTATTTAGGTTAAAAATTATTTAATCTAATATTTTGAAAGAAAAACTTATAACAAAAGAAATCAAAATACACGTGGTCTAGACGATTATTTAAAAAAAGTTGCGCAAGTAAAATACTATTTTGTTTTTTATTTTATTTTTGTTTTTAATTTTATTTTGTTTTTAATTTTATTTTGTTTTTAATTTTATTTTGTTTTACAAACACATTTTAGAACTTTAAAATACAATAAAAATGAATATGATTTGGAAATTGTGTATAAAAAAAACAATCGGTGTTTTAAACAAACAAAAAAAAAATCTATGACGTCATGCACTAAAACTCCTATGAATTAAACGCGCTTGAATAAATTATAAAGTCTGTATAATGTGCCTGGAAAATTGCGTTTATTTTACATACTCAAAATATCAGAGAAAACGGAGAAGACGAGCTTCGACTAAAACAACAAGATTTGTTTTTCTTGGTAATCATTTATTAATTAGTTTTAATCAAAAAAAATTTGCTCAGACCATTTTTTTAACATTCTCTTTAATATAAACACAACATGTCTCGGGACTTGGTAGTCCCTTTAAAGACTTTTGGAAATCTTTAACAGCATTATTAACAAGGGTAGATCTAACATTACATCTCTCATTCATAGGACTGATCTTATTACCTCTCCCAAGGATAAGGCAGGACTATTTGCAAAGAACTTTTCTTCTAATTCCACTCTTGAATCTTATGGACATTCTCTTCCTTCCAGATTCTGTAGTTAAAGTCATATCTCAATTAAACTTATCTACAGCTTGTGGTCCAGACAACATTTCTGTCACAGTCTTGCAAAATTGTTTTCCAGAACTTTCTTCAATTCTCTCTAAACTATTTAACAAGTGTTTGACTGAATCTTGTTTTCCTACTTGTTGGAAAATGGCATCTGTAGTTCCAATATTCAAAAACTCTGGAGAAAATTCTGACCCTTCCAATCATCGTCCGATCAGTCTTCTTTCTGTTATTAGCAAGGTCTTTGAGTCTTTGATCAACAAATTCCTCACATCTCATCTTGAGTCAAATAAACTACTGTCAGACATTCAATACGGTTTTTGATACTCTTGCTCTACGGCCGACTTGCTAACTGCTGTAACTGAAAGATTTTATTGTGCATTAGATGGAGGCGGTGAGGCTAGGGCTATTGCTCTCGACATATCTAAAGCTTTCGACAATGGTCAACATTCCTATATTAATGAATGCCAATCCTCTTACTGAGTTGTACTCTTTACCTCTTCTTGGATTATCACTTACTACTGACCTTTCATGGAAACCATATATACAATCGATTGCTAAATTAGCTTCTGCTAAGGTTGCTTCTCTTTATCGTGCTCGCCATTTCCTCACTTCCGATTCCCTTCTCTACCTCTACAAATCTCCTATTCGTCCCAGTATGGAATACTGTTGTCATATTTGGGCTGGTTCTTCTGACAATTCACTTTCTCTTATTGACAAGGTCCAAAAAAGCATTGTAAATGTTGTTGGACCTGGACTATCTGCTAAGCTTGAGCCTCTCTCCCATCGTCGTAAAGTTGCATCTCTTTCTCTTTTCTACAAATACTATTATGGTCACTGCTCAAAGGAGTTATCATCTCTAGTTCCATCAACTAATATTCATTCTCGTTTTACTCGTCATTCAGCTAAGTCTCATTCGTTTACTGTATCTGTCCCTGCATGCTCAAAAAACTTTTATTCATCTAGTTTTTTTTCCCTTTTTCACTTCAATCCTTTGGAACTCTTTCCCATCTTCATGTTTTCCTGACTCATACAACCTTTTTTTTTTTAACTTCAACTTCAACAAGTCTTCTGTCAACTGTTTCCTTGCTCTATAACTCTGTTCTTTTCTTTTCCTAGTAACTCCCGACTTAATAGTGGTTGCTTGTAGCCTTGTTGGGAGTGAATGCAAATAAAATAAAAAAATAAATATTGGAAGCAATATACAAGAGCAAATATAACTTTGTTTTAACCTCCTTTTATTCTTAACTTTTAATTTTGATAACAACCATATAAACAAGAAGTCTCTATAGCTTTATTGATAGTTTTACAACTCAGTTATAAGTATGGTTTTGTCTTGCAGCAACAATAAATTTATGTTAGATGAGAATGTATATCCTAACTAAATCTAGTGTTCACATACTGTTTCAGCAATTAAAGTAATGAACATTTTTATCCAATGATAGACACTTGTTTTCATAATAAACAAAACATGACAAGATGTTTTGCATTATTATATTCAAAAACAAAAATTTTTGTTTATTATTTTCTATAAAAGATCATTTTAATTTTATAAATCAATTTTCTGACAGATTTAAGCTAACAAATTTAATGGGAATAATTTGTATGAAATGATCTTAATTTTTTGAAGTTAAAGTTGTGATCAGATCCAAAACTTATATTTAAGACACACACATGTCAATTTAAGACCTTTTTAAGGCACACACAAGCTAATTTAAGAAAAAAAAGTAGTTTTATAAATTTCCTCCGGAAACTCATTTGTTGAGTGAAATTTATTTAATGATTTAATAATGATTATTATATTATTATCACTACTATTATTATAATATCATTATTATTATACATAATAAATACTTAGTATAATTATATCTGCTCTCTATCAAATTCAAAAACTTTTAGTCACAGTATGCTTGTTAGACCGCTAGCTTTGTAACTTAGTTTTCTTTTTCTTTTTATAACTTAAATAATTTACAACTCTCGCAGCTTAGTAAGTCCAAGTAGTGAACTCTAATCTTAAATTAAACTTCAAATCAAATTCACCCAAAAGCAGATTTAAATTTTACTTGAAACTTACTTAAACTTTAGTTTAATTGATTATTGTTACTGACTCCATGTAAATTATTGCACCAAAATTTTTAACAATATTAAATACTTTTAAAAATACTATATTTACAAAAAAAATATATAGGTGGTAGAAATCTTCTTTTTTGTATAATTAACTGCACTTAACCAATATTTCAATCCTAATTTATGTATGTTTGGTTGTGAAGAATTGAGATATTAATATTAATTTCTTTTAAAAGAAAGAAGTACAAAGGAATGTCTGACTAATAAATTGTTTCAAATTAAAAAAAAATAGTCTCAGTTAATCAATTGCTTAATTTATAACATAAATAAAAAACTCTTCCATATAAAAAGATCTGTCACAAAGCGAACTTAAATTTGGCTTACCTTTTGACAGATCTTTTTGCAGATCTGCACATTAAAAAAGAAAAAAGTCATAATTTAAAAACGATAATTTTGAGACAGATAATTTTGCAGATCTGCACAAATTAATAAAGAAAAGAGACATAATTTAAAAATTTTCCCTAAGAACTGGCTTGTTGCATTTAGCAGACAATGGAAGCATAGGCTGATCAAGTTAATATTTATCATTTTAAAAAAGGCAGAGCAGAGAAACTTACACATCAAAAATTTTGTCAAAACTAAATTGCCTTGAAAGCTGACCAAGAATGCATGGATATATTCAATAACACTATTTCCCTGAGAATAATCTGAAACTGCATTAATAAACTCTAATACAAAAAAATAACTTTAAGCAAAAACTGGGGTGTATTTAGCTGCAAAAGATTTAAAGGCTGAGACAAATAATTAAAAATAGGAATACAAAAAAAGCAAAAAGAAAGAAACAGCAGCATTGATTAAGCAGATAATATTCAGATAAAAGAAAGTGTTGTTGAATAACAAAAGCCAAAAAGAACAGTAACAAAGTTAGTGTTAAATAATGAAAACTGACAAAGAATCAATTTATTCCTCAGAAGATGAAAATTATGTACCTAGTTTAATTAAACATCATTGAAAAGTTTCATTGTAAAAAATGCGTAGAACAGCTGTTTAAAGTCAATGTATTTTATAAATTAAAATAAAAATCATAGCAATAATTTTTTTCATTTTATAAAATGAAACAAAACAATGATGTTTATGAGTAACTTTTTTTTCACAAGTTTAAAAATGCTGTTGGTTGTGTGTTTGTTTTTTAAAGTTTTAGGTTTTATACTGTTAAAAATAGTTGTATGTAATTTGTTAAAATCTTATCTGTAATTGTCAATATAAAAAATAATCAGCAAATAAATTCAAATCTCATTTAAAAGGTGAAATTATTCCTAAGATAAAATATTACAAAGTAATAGTTCAACAAATTACTACAAAGTAATAAATTAATACATTATACTGTAACAATACTATTATTAATAGTATATTTGAAATATTACGTTTATGTTGATTTATAGGATGCTGTGCAATTGGTATTGTAATTTTAACAGAGTTTGTAAAGTGAATTACAAGTGAAAAGTGGGGTAAAAAAATAACAACAAACAAGAGTAAAAAATAATTAAATATAAATATCAAGCTCTCAATGGTTTATTCATGAAAAAATTGTATTGAAATGAGGTATTAAAGTTAAATTATTTATTTCTTGTTATGTGCACTCAATTGGTGACAAATTTAATTTGTCACGTGGTAAAGCATAAGATGCTTGTCTAACTGGATAAACTAGTTATTAGTGCTAATCTTCATCAAAATGCCAGTAAACGCCATAGATGCGACTCTGAGAAGATGTTTATTACTCAACCACTACACAAGTTATTTCAGAATTGTAAACCGAACAATTTCATAAATAATGTCTTTCATAATCTAACCCATTCAAATGGATTAGGCCACTATGGATTCTCATAAAACGATTGTGACCAGCACTATGAAACCTGGTTAACAGGTCTAGAAATGCTATTGTGAAGCATCTTGTGTAGGCGGTATGGCTTCTCCTAAACATTAGTTTTTTGAAAATAAGTCTTTTTTGGATTCATTTACACTACTGTAAGAACTTGTAGTATCATATTGTAGCAAATCTTTCAATTAAGTGAAAAATACTATTGATATCATACTCCAAGGGGTAAATAGATGTTGATTGCAATGCATTAAGGAGAAAATTTTCACACGATTTCCAAAAAAAGTTTTTTTTTTCAGAAAAAAATGCAACTTGATCATAACCTATCATTGTGTAAAGGAGGTAAGCATTGATGTTTTAAACTAAGATATTTTACAATGACTCAAAAAAATAAACTAACTCTATATTTTAACAATATATTATAACAAAATATTCTATTAATTATTAATAATATTCTATAAATT